GTGTGTTCATATACAACTCATTAGATTTTATCTTTTTTTGTACCCGTGTCCTTATTCAAGTTTCAAGTCATCACACGTTTTATTCTTTTTCTTCTTCTTCTAAACTTATCTCTTCTTGAACCAAAAAGGTGCAGTTATGATATGGCCATCGTTCCTATTTATTTTTATTTGACTAGTAGAAGTGAACTTGTCATGAAGCTTATGAAGCTTACTATTGACTGATTAGACTAGTCATCCAACATTTAAAAAAAAAAAAAGTTAGAAATATGATCTGATGCTTTATTTTTATTTTTTATTTTTTTAAATAGTGCATAAGGACATCTTGCTGCTTTATAAAATACAGTGCACATGCCATTAGAAAGAAATAGGTTACGTCTTTCAAAATTATTTGTTTAGTTTTAATATGTTGTTAATTAATTTGGAGACTTTTTTTTGGATAATCTAATTTGGAGACTTTATATAGGAGTACAGGTCTGATTAGGTAGCCTTTCCTCTTGATGTTAAAACAAATAATAAAAAAAATAAAAAAACAAAATAACCAAATAACCAAATTGTCCGTGTTTCTTCATATTTCATATTCATATCACTAAACGGTTACCTTTTTGTGTTGGGTATATATTTATCTATTTGTTGATGAAATATAATTAAATATTCCTAAAATTACAAAAATAAAATAAAAAATAGTGGTTACATTATCGTCTCTTATGTTTCTTTTATTATTATTACTTGTTTGTTTATGTTATGATATACATTATATACAACATTAATAAAAAAATATAAAATACAAAATAAAAAAAAAGATAAAAACATGAAAATAAATCAATAGAGCCTTATTTTAAATCCACCCAATGACTTTCAACTTTGATATATATGGTCATCCATTCTCAGGGGATAATTTAACCGTGACGGTTTGTTAATCCCGTAATCTTTTGAATCATTTTAACCGTGACGGCTTGGTGATTCAAAGTTTATTATAATATTAATAATAAAAAATAATAACGTCAAATCTAGTTTTAAAAGGATTAGCTGAGTTGGGACAACGTGTTAATCCCATAATCTTTTGAATCATTTTAGTCGCGACGGCTTGATAATTCAAAATTTATTATAAAATTTATACTAATAAAAATAAAAAATTATTGAAATCAATACAAATCATCAAAGCCTAAACTTTCCAATGATTTTCTTTAAAATTATTTTTAAAAATAAATAAATTCAATCAACACACAAGTATTTTCTTAAGAACGACGTAGCTTTGAATTCCTCACTGCACCTGAGGATACGTCGGAGCGGAACTCTTTCCGTCAAGCAAAAATAAAGTTTAATAAATTATTTCTCTTCTTAATCATATTTATATTTTTATGGGAAAAGTAAATATTTTTAAAAGCTATTAATAATTCGCACAATTAATTCAAGGTAACCGTTTTGCAACGGATGTGTCAGGGGTGCAGTGGGATTAAGTTTCCACCCTTCCCTGCGCATAATTAGACTCCCGAACCTTTGATCTATAATTTTAAAGACTAGTTTGCAATAAAATAATTTTCCAATTTTTCCAAGTAAATAAAATTGGTGGCGACTTCATTGTTTTTATTTTCTAAATTTTGGGTTGTTACAATGTGCAATGAGTCAACTATAAATGTATCACTAAGGTATAGACATATGTTCAATATGAGAGTCATCGTGAGTGTGTCTCAGGTAGAGACTGAGAAATAAGGAGAAAGTGTTAAGAAGTGTAATTGGTGCGTGAGAGGTCCCTCCTTAAAAGGAATTGGGGGGTATTTATAGGTGGAAATGGTTATCCAATCATGAGAGAGAATAAGCCATAACTCATTGCATCCTTAGAGGCCCCACTACGAGTGAGGCAAGCATCCTAATTTGATGCATGAGATGCGGTTAAAGGGAGAGATTCGTTGTGAAATTGTCATTTTGTTTCACTCGGGATGTAGGAGTATGACCCCCTTAAAAAGGCCTTAGATTCAATGGATTGGACCCATATGATCAGTCCGGAACAAAGCGCAAATAATTTTGATTTGTCTTACACAACCTTTTTGATATTTTTGCAAATTAAAAAATGACAAATTTATCATCAACTATGACAATTTGATTATTGTTTTTTTTCTTTCCTTAATTGTATGAAGAATTCAAATATTTGATCATTCAAGTTGGATAAGTAATATCTTGCATAGTCATAATTGCAAGAATGCTAATTTTATTCACAAAATATTATTATTCATGTGTTATGATTGTAATTTTGTTTTAGGCGATCAATTACCATATCCTGCTATTTTTTATTTTCGAAAGATTCAAAATTCTAGAAATTAGGTGAAATTTAAGTTTTATTAGACAAAAAAAATTTGAGCGAAGAAAAAAACAATTATCAAATAATGATTTTGAAGGATCGCACCAGAAAAATTAGAATTAATTATTATTTGATTGCAAAATATTAATATTAATTTTAAAATAATAATTATTATGTTATTTATTATATTAATTATCAATTACTAATTGTTAAAAAAAATTTATTTTCAAATATTGGAATCTATGAAAAAAAGAAAAAAAAAGAAAAATTATTAAAAATAAACTTAATATTTTTGAATCTATAATATTTTTGAAAATATTGCACCAAATAAATAATAATTATTAATGATTTTAATTATTATTTGACACCAAGAATTTAATAATAATTTTCAAGATAAGAGTAATTGTGTCATTTTTTATTATTAGACATTAATAATTAGGGGAAAGATATACTTACCACCAAAAAAGTTTACAACATTTACAACCACCTAATCACTGTTGATTTCCGTCAATCTAACGGTTATAATTTATTAGAAATTATTGGGCGCATTTATTAATTAATTATTAATTTCAATAAATTATAACCGTTAAATTGGCGAAACGGTGATTAGGTTGGTTGTAAAGGTTGTAAACTTTTTTGGTGGTAAGTATATCTTTTCTCTAATTATTATTTATAATATTAATTAATATTTAATAGGATAAGTGAGGACAAAGGACTATTGGTCATCTCGCTGAGCAATGTAGGGAAACCAGTCCTGCTGGGTTAGTCGGATGTTTCGGGTATTTCGATGAATTTTTTTTCAAACAAATATATTGGTCAAAAAGCTTGATTATTTGTATGTAACATGATATCGTGTTGATTATTCAATATTAAAAGTTTAAAATTGCAAAAAAGAAAAAAGAAAAAGAAAACTAATGAATATCTTAATGTAAGAATTGATTTCCCATTATGAAAAACGGTTGCTGATTTTTTTTTTTTGGGTACATAACTTTGCTAATTACTTTAGTATACATAACTTGTACATAATTAACGTACATAACAGTCTCTCGACTTTGGGATGTTTGCTTCACTTTGACGCTGAGATGTGGCTGAAGCCGTGCAGATAATACCTCGTGTCAAGGGTTCATTTGGGTTAGCCAATAAAGGTCTGAATCAGACCATTTTTTAACTAACTACATGTAAATTGAATCAATATGGCCCAACTCCAAAGGGAACCCAATCCGCACATGGACGGGCTATGCAACTTGATAGATCATGGGTCCGAGGAGAAGTAAGAGTAAGTGGTAACGAGAACAGCTTTAAAAAAAAAAATTGTTATTTCGAGTATATTCGGGTTATTATAATTAAGTAAAGATCTTTTACTTTCAGTATAAGATTAAAAAATTTCACTTTCCATCTAAGTCATTGATTTTCATCTATTTAATGATTGTAATTTATTGAGTTATACTAAGTAATTAATTATTAATTTTAAATAAATTAAAATTATTCTATCGATGAAAATCAACAACTAAGATGATCTTTTACTGGAATAGAAAAATCCCTCATTATAGTTACATTATTTGAATAGATTTTTTCGAAATGAAAACTTTAATTGTCTAATTTATTATTCTTGTGATAGCGGGCTATTTATTTTATAATCATTTGCATTCTGTAATAGATAAAATATTTGAAATAAAATTATGAATAAGATAACTCTATCCATTAAATAAGATAACAAATTTGAATTATAATCATCTGATTTATGACTCAAAGTCCATCCCAAATGATGGGATGCGAGAGTCTTGGCACGCAGTCAGAAGCAAGTTATTCCCTCAGACTCAGTCATGGAAGGTTCATTGGGGCGATGGGAAGTGCGTTTATGCGTTGCAATTGGTGACCTATAATATGGTGCCAGTCTATAGAATTTTATAACCATTTGTTTGAGAACATTTGACACATATATGGAGGGAGAAAAAACTTTTTACAGAGATGGCATTTTGAGCTGATAACAGGTAATTAGAGAATATATTGTAATATCAATGTATTTTTGTTTTCTCTTCATAATTTGCTCTTCCGAAAATGGCCCACAAATGTGTGTGGATTTGCAATTTCTTTCTCCTATTGTTTCCTATGCATACTCACTGGTAGCTAATGACGCCTGCATTTAAGTCTTAATCAAGAATAGTTCAAGAACGAATTTCAGCTACATATCGTTCATCCTAGCTTCCAATTTTTCACCGTAAAAGTTGCTCAAACGATTGGTGTTTAACAACCTCTACAATTTCTGTTTTGCTACTCAGTGTGAAAAGTGGAAACCGCAAGTCCCATATTAAAGTCAAAGCACATTCCATTCCCGCAAAGCTTTCTGTCGCTGAAAAATAAATGGAACATGAGCCATGACAGGCTAGAAAGTACAATCAGTCAAAGACACAAAGTTGCCAGCACCGAAATATTCCCAATCAATGATATGAACAAGACAAAGTTTGGCTTCAAAGTCGAAATTTCCAGCTTCACAATGTTGTCTTTCACGAAAGAAATAGGTATCGATCCCACCCAGCCCATGTTAGAAAGCAAGCTATATCCCTCAAGCAAGTCAATCCTTTGTCAGAGTTACAAGGTTGTTCAATATTCTTCTTTCCTTGGCCTTGCGTTTGAATAAAAGTAGCAAGCCCAAGGAGAAAGAAAAACAATGAAAATACCAAAAAGGAGCAGAACTGGATTCAAATGCGGTAGAACATCTTTTTAACTAATTTTTTTTTTTTTCTCACAACACAAAACAAAACAAATATACTAGTAGCATATTATATTTGATATAGATCTACCTTAGCTCAAATAATGGACAAGTACAGAACAAAAGAGCTACCGACAGCCCCAAATATAAAAAATAACTAACTACTTTGGTTTCGCGAAACAATCAGGTGGTTAAACTAAGGTCCACGGTCGGTCCGGTTCGGTGGGACATCGCTGTCGTTTACATCACACGGAGATACTACGAGGTTGTATGGTTAACTTTGGCAACCATGGTTTAGTTTCCGAGTTAATCCCGAATTAACAATCATCACCCATTCATCATCATCATCATCATCATTCAATATGAACGTTGACGCACAGCACAAGCAACAACCTGAGCCCACTGCTTCAGCCTTGTCTTCACCGTTTGGGGATTATCACCTGCATATACAAATACAATCCCAAAGAAAAGAATAAGTATTAAATTAGCACCATTAAACCTAACAAAAAAGTAATTAACGGATAGATCTAATTAATTAAAGTTAATTAAGACATAAATTGAAGTAAGAATCTTCTTAATTACCACTGCTGTAGATGGTGGTGTGGGGACTGCCGTGTGGAGAAGAAGTGCTGTCGCAGTCAGACGCGGCGGCGGAGGAAGACGGCGTCGTTGCTGTGGCGGGCTTGGGGGCGAGGGAGTCATTGTAGCTCTTATTGACGGCGTAGTAGAGACCGAGAGCCGGTAGGGCATCGGAGAGACGCTGATCGAGCTCAACCTCAGGTGAAGATTCGAATCCGAAGCCCAATTCAATGCAAGCCTTGAGTTCGTCCACGTCCTCATCCGTCACGCTCTTGCTGCGACGGTTCTTCCAGTTACCTTTGCGGCGGAGCCACGCCTCGTCGCGATATAGATCCGGCGACCACGATCGCTGCTTGTAAAGAGGCGCCGCCGACGCGGTTTTCAGCAGCGGTGGACGACGGAGCAGAAACTCCGGCGGCGGCTCAGGATCGTGGTAGTCGTTGGTGTCAGACATGGGTGATGAACACAGCCCCTTGTTGTTGTAGTTGTTGTTGTTGTTGTGCGGAGGTCGAGGGACCTCGCACGATGAATTAGAGAACGCTATGGCTTATTAGGTTTTTCTTTTCTTTCGGCGATTTTTGAATGTGAAAGGACAACACTCCCTTTAAGGCTGTGTTTGTATCATGTCTTCTCTGTGCTGAGCTGGTAGATCACCATGACCTCTATTTCATTGGTCCACGTCATCATTACCTGTCTTCATTATTTTCCTTCTCTCTTTGATTTTCCTTGCAATTGCATTTATTATCTTATTATCTCGTTTCCCTGTTTGCTTGGCCCAGAAATATCCTATATATTTATGGGTTCGTCGTTTCTCCTTTCGCGCTGTTGATGAGAAAAGTTGTAGCAAATTATTAACATTAGGACACAGGGTCGTATCTTGGCCTAAAAAAAAACACATCAGAATTCGGACGCGATAAAAATAAATGTTACTGCACTTTTTCCCATCTGCAGTGATAGAAGAAGTATATAACCCTATATTTATTTATTAAACGAGATTCACAAAATACATATTAAAAAATACCGTTGTTAATATAATTTGATTTCCCTTTATAGGCCAATCAACGAGCCTGAGTCTTGCTGACATATGTAAACATAATTGCATTTAGTATATTAATTACCTTGCCCGCAGGGAGTATAACCTAGCTTGCTAGCTAATTGCTTCTTGCTTAAGGAATTAGTTACTAAACTATACGCTCGGGATATTGTGTATAATTGATCGAGATATTTATGAGGATTATACATGACGTTAGCTGGATTACTTACTGATTATTTTTTTAATTACGTATTAGAGAATGAGCTTCGCATTTACGATACATATCTTGTTTGACGGATACATTACCTTGAAAGCAATCTCTCCGGTTATAAGTATACGAAATTTCCAATTAACTACGATTCCAATGATTATAATAACAATCATAATTATTTTTTATATTTGGTATCTTGTAATAACTAATAAGGTATTATTTAGGTGCGTCAGCCACTGATAAACTTAGTAAGGATCTTGTGTATTACGTCAATATTTTTTCATACAGGTAAAATTATTAAAAATATAGATCGAAAGAGAAAAAAATATTAAAAATTGTAAACAATATATATGTAATTAATTTAATTAGAATTTTAAAAGTATAAATTATATAACAGTTGAAATTACATAAAATATGCATAATTAATTTAAAAATTTTGAATTGTAAATTCAAATGAAAATAAGTCTAATATAATATCATGTATTATTTCATACGAAAAAGTATACTAAAAGATTTGACCATATATGTTAATTAGCTAAAAGTACGGGACATTTTACCTTCATTTGATTGTTAATTTCAACCCTGAAAGGAACTTATTAATTATATATACAATCAGGTCTGCAGTGGGATTTTATTTATTTATTTATTTACCTTTGTATATTAAATCAATGCATGAGTCACGGAATTGCTCCAAATATTAATTGAAAAAAAAACTCAAAACATCCAAGCGTTTATCTTAATTAGTCCGTTTGAACTTTGAATAGAATGTCCATCCGTGAACTGGTCAAATTAGCCACACCTTTGAACTTTTAAATTTTAATCATTGATAGCAATTTAGATACACGTATCTTTTATTTATTTTTTTGTTGGGGTTCCTGATTTTATTAAAAGTAAAATCATATTTTATCTATATTTTCTCAATACCGTTAGATATTTGCCAAGAAAGAAACATGATCCAGAATAATTAATTATATAATTATATATAAGTCATTAGGGTTAGTTTAGTGGTGAGGGGTGTGAGTAATATGTAATAGATATTGTATATTTAATTTTTTAATGTATCCAAAAATAATAATAATTAATTATATATGTTTAATCAATAATCTTATATTGATGGAGATCTTGCATTTCGATGGGGTGAAAGGTGGTTGAGCACCTAAATACATCGACACTTAATTCAGTATATGCAAAATGGTGGAGTGTGTGGATGTAAATATGCATGTATGAGGGTTTAACCTACCTGTATGCAAGAAATAGTAGATCGTATGTGTGTTGGTCATGCCATGGGTCCATGATTCAGGCCCATGACCTAAGAAAATTAAATATAATTAAATGACTATTTTTTTTAAAAAAAAATGATAATTAATCTATACTCAATAATTACCATTGTTTTCTTTACTTGGAAGTGCTAATCCCAATTAATATATATGCGAATGATGGTTAGCAACATAATATCCGTTTTCTCATACAAAAAGACATATATACGAATCTTTTGCTAATTTATTATCAAAATAACATCCAAAATTGACCAAACTTTAAAAGGTTGAGTTGCAGTAATTGAATACAATACGATACATAAATAATAGAATACGATATTTAAAAAGAAAAATATCAATGTTAATAATCAGACTTCAATTTTGTGGTGCGGACAGTGGTAGGTCAAGAAACACGTCAGAAAATCATGAAGCAACTTGAAATAATCTCGATTTGGACCTACATACACCATCTTTTCTTCCATTACTGATTAATTGAGCATATACGTACGGATATGCCACATAGATACACATTTAATAATAGAGCTTCGGCATGTAAAAAAGAAAACAAATGAAAAAAAAAGGAAAGAAAGAAAAACATTGAGCTCGTGAGAAGAGATTTAAAAGTTTTCATTGCTGTCTCGTCTGGTATTTCGGATTAATTTTACAGTCAGATCAAATAGTCAAAACTTATGAAAATATTAAAAGAAGTTAATTCGCTTCAAATAAATAATTAAGATTGAATTTACTCAAAAAAAAACATTGAGCTTCAAGTGTTATCCGGTTACGCAAAACCTATTCATTTATGGGAGGAGCGTTTATATCTTGAACGGTTAATGGGAATGGGATAACGCATAAGCAAAGCTTATATCTTTCTAAACCGGGCGTGATGTTTTTTCTTTAATAAATAAAACAGTGATCTTACCTTGGCTGCCGCTCTCAATTACTTATTCGTGGAAGGCTCTACTTACAAATTTTTTTTTACAAATTACACTAAGTATGAACTGTCATATATTCTTGATTAAAGTATCATACTTAATGTAGTTTATAAACAAAAAATTTATAAATATAACCTTCTTCTACTTAGTATTATCAAAAGAGTTATATTTCTGCTATGTTAAATAAGAGAGACAAATTTCTAACATACACAAAAATGGAGTGAGTCTTATATTTGTTTATTTTCTCTTTTCTTATTTATGAGTTCCATTTATGATTTTGTTTCTATGAGATCAAATAATATTTGTTCTATTACATAAAAAAATTATTTTTATTATCAACATTCTAATGCAACTTGTCAACAAAAGCAATTAAAAATTATTTGCTCATTTTAGCAAAACCCGGCCGGAATCGCTATAATGGCAGAAAATAAAAAAATCCCTCACTTGGGGTGTAGTTTATGCTATGGTTGCTGGCAAGTGGCAACCACACACACATGAATTTATATAATTTGTTGTTCGTGATTACATCTGGAGGAGTTGAATCATGAATGGGTCAGCCAATTTGTTTTCAAAATCAATAATGTTTTAACTCCAATAATAAAATGCCTTTTTTAGTTTAAGGATTGAGGAGCATTGGAATCGCATTCTCCTCACATCCTTAATTTTCTCTCTACTCAGTCCATGGACCAATATATTGTATTTATTATTAAATTGGGGCAGTTATTCCTATTGTTATACTTTTTTTACCGTTTTTACAACCAACTTAATTTTATTGAATTAGAAATATGGAGAAGGATATTGTAACAACCAAGTTGTGTTACTACCATGTTACTACTAATCAATCTCACCGTTAGATCGATTATGTTGATCCAACGGTTATATTTATTTTCATCTTTGTATGGACATGATTTCTCAAATTTAATATTTTATATTTATTTTCACCTTTGTATGGTTATGGTTTTTCATATTTAATGCTTTCACTTTAAATATGGGGAATCATGACCATACAAAGATGGAAATAAATATAACCGTTGGATCAACATAATCGATCTATCGGTGAGATTAATTGGTAGTAACATGGTAGTAACATAACTTGGTTGTTATAATATCCTTCTCCTAGAATTATATCTAATGGCTTATAATCAAATTCTTATAATTCTAATTATCACTTTTCATCATCTCTCACTTTTTCTCTAGTTCTGATAATCTTTTCTCCATCTTATTTCTAGTTCTATCAATTGCACATGACAAATTATGAAAATAAACTAATTTTTTTTATATAAATCAAATTCAAATAAATTAGTAAAACATAGTAGAAAAACCAAATGGGTAATTTAGTACGATCTAGAGCCATTTGTAAATCTTATTCTTATGAGATAATGCTGAGGTACCAATAAATCAGGCCTCATCATCAAAGACCTGGAGTTGAGATTTGTGGTTTTTAATGTCATTTGGGTCGTCTTTAGCAAATTCAGAGTTTAAGCCTTGATTGTGTCCCCCGTGTTAGACACTTAAAGGAATGAAAACTATTGATAATTCTGGATAGTCAGATAACAAAAAAATTAAGAAAACAAAAAACAATGAAATAAAAAATGGGAACAAACCTACAATTTGAAGAGAGTGTGAGAGACAATTTTATAAGTTTGTCATGTGCAATTGATAGACCTGGAGAGAGAGGATGGAGAGATGATTGTCAGACCTAAAGAGAAGGTCAGAGATGATGAAGAGTGATAATTAGAATTGTAAAAATGGTAAACTTTCCCAACTCCGCTTGCATAAAGAACTGATGTCATCTCTTATTTTTTTTCTTCAGTCTCAAACTTTTAAGACATTGATCAGCCGATAGCTTGGAATCGATAGACATGAGAGTCAACACTGATTTACAGTCAGTCATCTTGAATTTCTTTAGCACATCTTCTATGTACTTCTGTTGACTCAACCGTAACCTTCATTTGTCACCTTCCCTCTTGATCTGTATCCCCAATATCACGTTTGCATTGCAGTGCTTAGATATTTCATTTCAAATTGTATTGAATTTTATTTCCCAACTCCGAAGCACTCAACATCCCACGTGTCAAGTTAGGACGTTTACCTTATGCTTAATGAAGCCCACTTATGGTTCCCTTTCACTCATTATTGGAGAATCTTCTTCACCTATATAATACCTATTTTTTGTCATTAACGAGACCCAATTTGTATACTAATTTTCATGATTGTAACTCTCCTTAAATACTACCACATAGAGCTTTCCCCTCGATGCCTCGATTCTCAACTCTCATATGAAATCCATTTGCGATGACTCTCTTATTGAGCTTAAATTCACACCTTTGACTTATAAGATCACTATTACGCTAACATTTTCCTTTTAGGGGATTAGACTCATTTCCACATATCAAAACAACTCAAAACTCGATATTTTTTTACTAACATTTATTATTTTATCAGTTGAACTAATTCTTTTATAGACATACTATAATTATTTACAAGTAAGCTATGTAAAATCATCGTTAATGATGGACATATGAATTTTTTCAAGATAGTGATTTTTTTAATATAGATTTATCTTCTCTAAAGTGAGAGATGCACTTTAAAAAAAAAGTGTGAACTTAAAGTTATTAATTAAATAATCAGTGAAATTGATCTTAACAACTTCATAATGTATAATGCATAAGTATTTTAACCAAACAAAAAATATAACACACATATATATATTTGGACTTTATATTTCGGGCTTTACTTTTGGGCCAAATTCTGATGAACGATACATTCAGGTTACATCACAAACTTATGGACTCCATCAAAAGTTTCGCTATTGCAATCCATTACATTCGTGCGACGTGAAGTACAAAATTCTACAAAGCATCATTTCCTTATCATGTATACAGGCTATAAAAATTGGGGTATTTCCATACTTTTTTTTTTGTTAGTAAAAATACTTTTAAAATTATGCATCCATGTTAGGTTTACTGAAAAGAACAATAAAAAAAAATAAAATCAATCTTCCTTAAGGTGATCTCTTATAAAAAAAAAAACTAATAAATAAATTGTTTTTGATTATTTCACAAAAATATAAAAATAAATAATTGTTGATTGGGCCTTGGGTACGAGGGAGCAGTAAGTCCGGGTCCAAGAGCGAAAGCGCCAAGGCAAGAAAAGCCGGGAAAGAAGCATGTAGAAGGTGAATTCACGATTCATTTTGTTGTTGGCACATGAAATATTGTGGAAGAGTTGAAATCAAAATTAGGGTTATTTTTGGTGTGGTGATTGGGAGAAAGAAGAAGGATGTGGCACGAGGCGAGGAGGTCGGAGAAGAAGGTGCACGACATGATGGACGCGGCTCGAAAAAGAGCACAGAGAAGAGCCGTTTACCTTGCAAAGAGGCGCGGCGATCCTCAGCAATCCATTCAGCTCGTTGGCTTTCGTTCCCGAACCTATCGTGACGACGCCCTTTACCAAGCCACCCAGGATCAGCAGGGCCTGTTAGTTTCTCTTCTATTTCCCCCTCTCTTTCAATTCCTTCAATTTTGTTTTTTTAATTTTCAATCAAAATAAAATTAGAAATTCTGTTAGATTCTTTTTATGTTGTTTATCTCTCTATTACCTGGATTTGGTTCTATAATATTTTATATTTCATTAATTTCTGGAGGATTCAATTTGATTTAAGATCACGGGAGAAGGAACAAGTTCCTTAGGTTAAAGTGGTCGTGCAAAGTTCATGGATAATGTTTGGTTAATGCGAAAAACATTTGTGTTTGAATCCCCTGAGCTCAGGTTTCAGTGCTTTTACTCCATTTAAGGGTCCAGAGTATGGTGTGTTAACTGTTAATCAATATGTATGTCTGGTAATGATAGGGCGAGGGCCTACCCTGTCCTTTTTGTTGATTGGTGAATATGTTATGGTGAAAAATGTACTTCATTTATGGTTGACCTGATGAATCATTTGTGTCTCAGGATACCTTGGAATGGGAAACAGGATATTTTGATTGACAGGTGCGTAGTTTTTCTACTATCCTTGTGGCTGCTTTTATGTATGTTTGATTGATAACACAGAATTGGCTGTCAATCCCATGCCTTTGCAGATTTGATGGGCGGGCTCTCCTTGATTTCATTCGGGATACTGGTTATAGGCGTGTTCAGGAAAAGTCCGAAGAAGAAGAAGAATTAGAAGAGTTTGTTAATTTTGAGCGTTATCGGGATTTAATAAAGCATCGGCGTAGAGGATGTCGGTACTTTTTAATTTCTTGACGATGCGTTTGATTCTGATAACCTTTAATAGTTTGGTACTTTGGTTATTATTGTTTTTGATATCTTTTCTTTTCCTGATGTATCACCTTGAATCTCGGACAATACTAAATAGATGCATGCATTTACGTGCACATGCGCACCCTGCACAAACAAACCTACACTCACACACACGCATGCACACTTGATTTGTTTACTTTTTTACTAAAAAGGTAATATGATCCCCCAATTTGTTATCTTTTTTAATTCGGTACTTAAACACTAATTTCACTACTCAATTTATTAATCTTTATCTTTATGATGCCAATATTTTATTTGCAGTTAGTAAAATATTTGTTTCCTTCTTTGGGTGTCCTGAATCTCATTTTCAATTTGTATAATACTTTCCCAATTAAGAATTTATGTGCCCACCTATTGCGGCAAATTTCCACCTACTAAAATCAAGTAATGATCATAATGAACTGTATATAAATTTTTTGAGTCTATTCCATCTTATATTTAGCCATGGTAATTATTACATGCTAGCCATGTAAAAGAATTTTCTCTATTTAACAAACCAGAATGATCAGTGCATATGCGGGTCCACACAGGATTTTTGTACAATTTTCCTTATGTAATTCCCATCCCTTCATATTATTTTCTATAGTTTAATTTTAAATTGTTGTCAGTAATTCTGTATGGGAACATGAATGAAGGAAGTAAAAAAGGAAATCCCAGTTTCGCTATTACTCCGCTTTCTCTCTCCTTTCCTTTCTTTTATCATCTTCTGTTTCCCTTCTTGTCTATCTCTGCTCTGAGACTGCTACAATTGGTGCTCGGAGCAAAGACTTTAGGGAAACAAGAGATGATAAGAGAGAGGAAAGAAGACAGATAGGAGTCAAAGGGAGAAGTGGGATAATTTTCTTTTTAACTTCCTTCTTTCATGTTTCCTTACTTATAGAAATCTGTTTCAACAGAATTGTTGACTACAACTTGAAATTAAAACTATAGTAAATAATATGAAGGGATGGGAATTACATAAGGGAAATTCTATAATACTATTTTGTGGACCTGCCTATGCACTGATTATTCTGGTTTGCTACACTTTACTGGCAATGGCTAACAAAATCATAAAAATATAATCTTGATTTCACAATTCAAAGAAGTACTTAATTTGTTTCAATGATTAGTACAGGCTTTTAACACACAATTATAACAGGAGCAACAAGATAAAGCACGAGTTATTATTCCTTTGTACATAATCCATTAAACAATATTATCTAAATGGACATAGAAATTATATAGTTTGCACAAGCTTAGCAAAATTCAAATGCAATGAACTCAAAACAATAATTAACAATATCAGTAGAGGCAAAGGTTCTAGGGATTGATGAAGCGTTTCATGATAAAGCAATACAAGCAAAAGGTTCTGTAGTTTTGAAGTCATTCTTACATCTTGGGATTAATTTTGAATTCAAATTTACACACTAGGTTTTTAATGTTAACAGTTACTGATGAGGAGGCTTTGCAACATGTAAATCAAGAGATGGAGGCCAAGGCTACTGCTCCATTTGTATCAGACAGGTTCAATGAGATTCTTTTCATTCATGTTTAACTAGTTGTTTAGTCATCCAATGTTGTATCCAATAGAAGCATTTATTTATTCGTATATGTGCATATACATAGTTTGTGAACTTAAAAAAGTAAAAAACTATTCATTTTGAGTCCATTTCTAGATTCTTAATACAAAGAATCAGATGGTTACGCAACATCTGCTAACAACATCTGTTTGCATGAAAATGCTGATTATATAATGAAGAATTGTTTCCAGAGAATTGTTTTTAGTTTTTACCATATATCAGCTGTTTGTTACTCTCTTTCTTGTTGGATTTTGGAGGATCATTTAATAGTTGTTAGAATCACACGATTCCTGATTCTAATTGCAGGAATTGATATGATTCGATAAGTCATTGATTCTAATCATGTGATGAACCGATGTGATTCTATATCACCGATACGAATCACACAATTCAATGTTTTTTCTTTCTTTTTTGCTTTTCTTTCATCAATCCTCACAAAAGACATTGTTGTTAAATGAAAATGAGAGCGCTCTTGAATGCCCCCTATTTAATTATTCGTTGCCCTATTTTCATTCTAATAAAATAGGGACTTCACACAGTCATTCACTATTGCATCCTATTTGGCTATTCTATTATGATGTTTTCATTTTTCTAAAACAAAAGCTTCACATAGTCACTCACTCTATATGCATATTTTCTGGCTACGTCATTACTCCTTTTTTGTTTCTTTTGAAACATAGGTCTCATGCAGCCATTTTAGGTGACTCAGTTATGACTTACTACTTATAATTTTGTTTTGTGACACTTATGGTTAAGTTTTATCAATTTCTAGTTAAAGTTATTACATTGAACATTATATATCATTTATATGATATATTTCAAGCTATTTTTCGTTGTGTCTCTGGATTTTTTTATGATTTACGAACACAATTCAAAAATTAGCTCAGCGGTTCACAATTTGAATTGCGATTTGATGTTTTAACGTACTGTTTATGAAATAGTTTATGTTCCTTTTTTCGTACTGAATTCTTAGTAATTAATAACATTTGTTATCTGCAATTTTATGTGATGTGTTGTTTCTGTACTTCATGACTGATGATCTGATTTTGTTTATTTTCATGTACATTTGTAGATCTAATTTGTCACAGCCTGCTGCAAGCAAAGGATCTTACTCACAGGTTGGATTTTCTTATGATGGAAATGGAAAGGAAGAATCCCAGATTTCAGATGATGATGATGATAATGAAGATGATGAAGATGATGAGGATGATGAGGATTTTAACAGTGATGATAGCAATGATGAAGGAATGGAAATTATTGCAAAAGAATATGGGGTTAAAAGGTATGGTTGGCTTGTTTACATGGATAAGAAAGCTAAGGAGGAAGAAAAAAGGCAAAAAGAGATGATCAAAGGTGATCCTGCAATTGTAAGTGAAAATTTTCTTAGTAAAAATGGAATACTAGTATAGTTGTTCATATTTCAAGATGACTCGAGATGTTTTTCAATGATATATTATAAATTTTGTAGAGGAAGCTGAGTCGTAAGGAAAGAAGGAAGGCTTCTCAGATTGAAAGGGAGAGAGAGAGAGAAGCTACGCGGATATCTGGAACTCGTGTGCTGCATCATGATCCCTACCGGTAGAAAATATTGATATTTTCATCCTTCAGATTGAGCGAAGAATATATGAAATTGCGCCCTTACTAACAAATGGGGTTGCTGATTATTCTTGCATACCAGTCTTAATGATGCACTCAATATATACATGCAGGGAATCTAGACAAAGTCCTACTTATGAAGCTTATTCTCGTTCTAGAAGGTATAGCAATGCTTTTTAAGGTCTTTATGGATGGTGTTATAGTATTCAATTTCCATATTTCTCATACTTCTCGTGAAGGAAATATTATTGGGATTTTTGTCATTTTCCACTTACAGGTCAAGGTCCAGATCACGGTCCTACTCTCCGTCGCATTCCAGGCGTTATTCGCGTAGCAGTCATTCTGATGATATCCACCGAAGCAAACCAAGGACTCCTAAAATAGAATACATTACTGAATTTGGGGGCTCTGGAGAAGCAGATGAACCCAGGCGTGAAGGATTTTCTCCACCACGATCTCCTCCATCTCAAGTTGATATGTTAAACCGGTCGGAGCACTGGACCTTTAATTCTTGCCAAGATAGATTGGACAGTCTTTTCTCTGCGCAGCATATCACCCATATTGTTGCCTGAGGCAATTTTTTGTGGTTTAGAATATAGATCAGGACTAGGATTGTCAGGGTAACTGCCAAGAGGAAGAGGGAGGAGGCTTCCTTTTTGAAGCTCATTTTTCCCTGAAATGAATTTTGCATAACTTTATCTGTGAGTCGCATAGAAATATTGCAATTTTTTGTCTGATACCTCTACTGTCTTGCAGGCCATCATCTGGTTGCATACTTGAGGCATTGCATGTCGATCCTGCTTCTGGTGTATCTATTGATAAGGATAAGGGCACTAAAGTCATGAAGCCATCAGTAAGGTATGCCATCACCCAACAGTGTATATGTCAATGGAGTTTTTATTATATATGGTTTTGTGGTGCCCTATGCTTTATTGACCATATGATTTTTAATCAAGATTGGTTTCATATTAATCCAACAGTTAATAATACTCCCAGCTGGGCATGGGTTCCTTAGAAATGTTCCTTATCATATTTATTTCTTTTAGTATTTATTTCCGTTTAAAATTACAAAAGGATATTTCTTCCATTTTTGTTTATCTGAGTTGTCTGAATATCTTTTTGTTTAATCGATACTGTTCTCTTTTCCACAGCACATCTTCAGCATTAGCAAAATTAAAGGCAAGTGGTTCTGGAGGGCCCTTAAAACATCAACAAGGGGAGAAGAAAGAAACTCCTCAAGAAAGACTTAAAAGGATCATGAACAGGCAACTAAACAAACAAAGTATGACTGTTTGAATAATTTATTTTAGTTACAGATCAAAGAAGTCTTTTAACATCTTCTGATGTAGTGCATTACTCTTCTTTTGCATTCTACTAATTCTTTTCTGGAACGAGTCTAGCATTATATATGTGAACTCTATATCATTTTCTGAAATATGTGTATATATATGTCTATAACTGTTTGCCTGTGCAGTTAAAAAGGATACTGCTGCTGAATTAGCTAAGAAAAGGGAACATGAGCGGCAGAGGCAGGAAAAGCTTGCTGAAACAAGTCGATTGAGTCGGTATAGACGTCGCAGCCGGAGCAGGAGTTTCAGCCGTTCCCCCCCAAGGTATTCCATGACAATTTGCACATGTTGATCGATGTGTGCACTTAATGGATTCACAAGATAAAAAACGTTAACTTTTGGTTTAATGGAGTGGTTCAGCATACAAGAATTTTATTATTAAAACCAAATATGCCTCGAGTTGAGTGGGTGATGGCACCAGTGGGAATTTACTATTATAAATTCAAGGACTAACAATTTTAAAGACTGAAGAAATAACAATTCCCCACAAATCGTTGTTTTCTGAGATACATCCATACTATATTTTTATTAAATCTTGCTGAATAACAAAGATTCCAGCATTCCCCTAATTACAGTAAAGAAAAGCAGACTCCAACCTCTCACACACCGTGAAAGGGAAAATTACACTTAAACGTGAATGACTGTAAATCCCTCAATACAGACTCCTACAACACATCAAGACACTTAAACAACAGACTCTTAACATGAACAACGCTACCCTACCAATTGCCCCTACAAACAACCACCAGTCTGCAGAGTACCCCTTGTTCCCCTTCCCAAGTTAATGCATATTTTGTTCATATCCCTCTCTTATGCTTCTCGCTCTCTATATAACCACCATCCTCCACCTTTTCCTGCTCCCTAATATTTCCTTCACCATTGAGCATGTGCCAGCTGTCCACTTTTATAACTAACTTCATTCCTTTATTTTCTCTTGTGATCACCTCTTCCCACGTTTCTTTGTCTCTGCCTTGGCTTGGATCAGCAGCACTTGGGCTATTGGGCTTTGTGTCTTCTGATTGCCTTGTTGAGCAACTTTTCTTTGTTGGGCTTCAGCTGCACGTCTCCTACCCCTTCTTTTATAATACTTTGTGAATGGCTCCAATGGCCCATCAGTGGGCCACATCGGTCTAGTTGAAATTCCTTGAGGAACATTAGTTGTTGTCTTTATTTATTTGTATTAGATAACTAGGCAACGTTTTCTGGTTTATGGATTTCAAAGTCAAGATGTCTTTTTTTATTGGATAAGATACAAAGTCAAGAATGGTTTTATAAAAATCTCCAATTCCTTTTCTCCATTTTTTTAAACTCACAAACAAGCGGAAGACATAAGGAAAACCTTCCCCTCTTATATCTCCTAAACATAGCCTTAGGCGGGAGAGGGAGGGGAAGGAAGGGAAGGGAAATCAAGGGTATTCCCTTCTCTTGTTTGGGAGTTGAAACCTTCCAAATTAGTGAAACTTTAATTTTAAGAACAATAAGGGTTTTGGAGGGTCTTCTGAAAATCCCCAAATCCATCCCCTCACCTTTTTAAACTCACAGGGAAGGGATTAATAAACCCTTCTATTTCTTTCCTTTCTCTCGTAAAACTAACTTCCAAACAAGCCCTTAGGGGACGTGTGATTCTTTGTATTTTTAGCTGTTATATTATTGTTTGTGCATTTTAAATCCTGCTTAAAGTGTTCTGGCTGGTGCTAATGTTCTGTAATTCATTTTAAGATATGGCCTTGTATACTTGAGGGATTTGTAATTCGTGTAACTTTAACATAACACCAGTATGGTGTTAATAGATTTCTGAGATTGACGACTAGTGGTATTGTACCAATTAGTAAAATTATTGTTAGTTAAGCAAATGGAGTTTTGTTGTGTTTTTCCCTCTGATTAATTAAAAAGAAATTATATGATTCACTGCAGAAGACACAGGCGTAGTAAAAGTCCAAGTAGAAGCAGGGGTTCCAGAAGATATTCTAGATCTCGCTCTCGATCCCATTCAACCCGCTCACGCTCACGTTCCCGTTCTCGCTCTCCTTACTCTCGTTCTCCCAGGTAATCGTTTGGTTTTTATTTGCCTTTGCCTTGAAATTTATGCCACAGCATCATCTCAACCATGAAAAACTGATTCAGAAAGTTGATATTTCAGAATGAGAAACCGTTCAAGGCACTGATGGAATGCTGTATGCATGTAGAAATGGTGATGTGGTCGGTGGGTAATTTTTTATATATGAATTTTACTGTTCCCAAGTGGTTCGGGGCAAACATTTGCCGTTGTGCTTAGTTGAGTTTTACTGAAGTTGCGTTAGGCTATCTTTTTGAACATTTCACTTTATCATCTGCTAATATATATATTTAACATATTTACGAATTGTGAGTAATTTGATTTTTCGAATGTCTTATCGGGTACATATTTCTCATGAAAATTTCGATCCACTTTTGGGGAATTAAATTTTATAACGTAGGTTCCTTGAAGTGGTTAATCCTGAAAAGAAAATGATTACTTAGCCGTAATATAATATAGTGTGAATATTTAAAACCCTTTTTAACCTAGAAACGATGTTTTCATAACACCAAAACCCACCACATACGTTTGTAAATGTGTGATGCGTATCATTGAGCTTCTGCGCAAGGGGAAGCTTACGGAAGCTGTTTGTTTTCTTTGCCTATTGTTACGAAAGTTGCCAAGTGTACGGCGAATAATGGGCGTAGTGTGTAATCCGTTTTAGTGTTTTTCCTTTCCCACAATTTCAAAAAAATAATAATAAACAATGGGCGTAGTGAAATTCGTGATCCAAAAAAAGATGTAAAAGCCTTTCTAACTGCTTTTAATTTTCTCGAAAGAAAAGTAGTGTTTTTGTTATTTTCAATAAGTATTCCTTTATTATCGAGCTAAGTGTTTTTTTTTAAGAAAAAGTATTTTTTTATTAAAAAGAGTCCAATTTTTTTTACACTAATACTTAAGTTTTTAAAAAATTGAGAATTCCCTGGCTGCTTAATTTTTTTTTTTTCAAAACTTGAAACAAATTCATCTTAATAATTAGCATATTATCAACTTAATAGAAAGATTAATAGTTTTACGCATAGCAGCATAGGAAATCGACTTATAGGATAATTTAATTTACATTGTAAACTTATTTTTTATTCTCTGAATAGCTAAACTGAAGGGAGTTATTTATTTAAAAATTTAATTTTTTTCTTAAGAACTTGCTAGAGGGAATTGTTTTTCTGGGATGATGTAATGAAAGGTATTAGGCAGTGAGAACAGAAATATAGGTATTCAACCAACAAAGCATAGCACAATTAGTAGTAGATGATTTGAGTTATTTAAGCATGTTGAGTTGTTAATAAGGGTTTTATTGTGTGTATAGAAAAAACTTTTTTAATAAAGGTAAAATTTATTTCGGTAATCTTAACGCTTCAAAAAAATTAGTACGTATAAACTTCATTAATATCTAGTAATCGCACTGATAGAGTAAGACAACGTAACGAGCAAGAAATAAATTCCAGTTATCCCGTCGCCCACTTAACAATTAATGAAAGCATATCCGCACAGTCCCACAGAACCGTAATAAATGCAACCAAGATTGTGTTGTATGTAGTGGGAGGAATAAATCTTTGGTACTACTGCTGCTGTATCAAGATTCAGTGCATCTCATCAATGAGAGCAATACACATCAGAAGAGAGAGAAAAAACTTGACAGAAAAAAAAAATAACTGACATGTAATATTTTTGTTGGTGGGATGCACTGAATCTTTGATACAACAGTAGTATCAAAGATTTATTCGTGACGAGAGTGTTATGCCGGGTAGCACTTGATCTCCAACTCAAAAAGAAAACACTGCACGGCTACCAATGTCATGAGAATTCCATGACGTTGCTTTTTCTATGCCGCTGCCATCAAACCAAGGGAAGGGGTTCAGCATTCTCAACAGCTATCCCTTACTATAAGAAGTGCTTCCTAGTAAATCTGGGATTGCTGCAATTCTCAGATTAACCACTAAGCTTCAACTTGCTTTTTACGAGTTTTGTGTAGTTAGTTGCTTGGAGTCTTGGACAATTTGGATTTCTACCTGGGTCTATCGTAGAATTAAAGTAAATTGGAATCATCAGATCATTTACTAGAGCCTTGCAATAACTAAGTTGGATTAAGAAAATGTTTTTCACCAAATAAGTGGGAAATTATTATTCTTTCCTCCTTGTTTTGGGCCATAGTAAATTAATGGTTTAATATTGATAATGACAGTTAAGAATATATGGTAAAAACCAATCGCACATTGAATAAGTGGGTGCTTTATGTCAGCGTCCACTGTCCGAGATAAGAGTCAAGAGTTCTCATAATCTCATTAGTTGTAGTCCCTATTGAATTGTGGATGTTCATTGTACCGTCCAAACAAAAGGTCTTGCAATTTGCTTTTGACCATATTACCTGTGATATTGACTGTAATGCTGGATTGGGATTTGACTGCGGGTGAAAGAAAGGAAAACAGTACAAGAGAGTGAAGAAAGACCAAAGACAATGTAACCTCGGATGACAAAGTCACAAAACTGAAAAAAGTGCTGTTACAATCTTTTACGGAAAATGGATCATTTCATATTTTATTTAATATGATCATATGTAACGTGAGACGATCTTAATTATTAATAATCAAATTAATGGTGGTAATTGTGTAACTTTTTATTTATATATATTTTCTCTTTCTTTCTTTATTACCATTGATTCATCTTATATAGTTAGAATTCTATCACATGACATGATCGTCTTAAGAGGATTCAATCCCTCTTTTCTCTTCCAGACTCCAATACCCAGTTTAGACATTTTTCTTGATTTTCAGTGTCAAGGAAGTCCCATTATTAACTTTTTGGGATAATTCAGCTATCATTTGGAGTCGGACTGAGATCAATCCTGGAGAGAGGGCACTGAAACTTTTTCTTACAATTTTGTTTGAAATTGGCAATAAGGTAAATATTTTCAACTTCCTATCTCCACACACATTCTCAAATACCCCCAATATCATATTTCTTGTGTGGACCAGTGTGGCTTCCATTTGAAGCTGTCATTTTTTTAGCATAGAAAGGACAAGTGGACATGTAATCGAGTAATAAATAGATTCTATTCTACCTCTACCATGAATATATAGTTGTAGGCCAAGAAAAAGGAACTCTTAAGATATATTTATATATGGAAATACTAATGAATTACCGAAAGCCATCTGTGGTGTGTATAATTTAGCTTGCAAATTGCTATAGCTACTTGCTTCTTTTCGTGATTCTTCCCTCCTTTCTCTGTCTTTAGCATTTCTTGAACCACACGGGATTTTTCCAGTATCTGATCCTAAAGCTAGGCCATCAAGGTCACGTCTAAAACTTCACTTTATTCCATCCTTTTCACACCGCACGCGTCTTCCATAGTGAAAGTGATCGATGCTCATTGATCTCTCCATATAGCCTTTAACCTTCTATTCTCACCTTTACTTGATACCCTTCCCCACTTTACTTTAAACAACAACGCCTTGGAATATATAACAATATCTTTACTCTCACACGAGGGGTCAATAATCTTGTTTAAAACTCCAATCTAATCTAGGAACTATGATTAGACATCAGCTCTATCTGGGGTAGCATCAACAACTGTCTAATGCAACGCCTATTTCCCTATTCTCCCCATCTCCGACTAGCTAGCTAGCTAACATTTCTCTTGGACTAGGAGAAAAGTCTTATTAATAAAAACCCCACCCAGGATTGCATCTTTAGGCACTTTTAGATTTTATTCTTTCCCTCGCTAGAAATGATTAAGTCTTTTTTGGGTTATATGTAATATATACATTGAGCAACAATCACAATCCATTAATTATATATCTGAAAAGACTTTTTAACTTGTATATTCTTGCAGACCCTTAACTAGCTTGACCCACTTAGTTAAAATGAATTAGGTTCAAAATTATATAAGTGAAGCACATGGCGTGACGTATCTTTTCTTGGAAAGCTTAATTAATATGTATTTCTTATGTCCCAATTAATATAAAATCAGATATGTTGTTCAAAATAATACTAAAAAGCAGGTAAAGATCCTTACCCTACATACAATTTTCTCTTCTAGGCATGGTTTCACATCTGATATTAAACTATCACATGCTTGTACTCTTAAACTAATGAGTTATTATATTATACAATACAATACAAACCAGAATTTCCATGTTTTAGCTGTTTTAAGAGAGAGAGAGAGAGAGTATTTATATGAATGAGGCATATCTCAATTATTTGTTTTATATTAAAAGTTCAAAACCCTTATGTTTCAAATTAACCCACCCCCTTTTTTCTTCTTCTTGTATCTGTGTATTGCACATTCACATCATCCTGGCGTCATTTTTTTTTTTTTTTTTTTTTTTTGTTTTGGCATGAATATGATCCGAGAGATGAGAAGTCTATAACGAGGCTCCTGCTGGATCATTTTGATTAAACAATTGCAGTAAGCAAACCTAAGTTCATCATCTGCATCTTAGCTTTGAAAATTTCTACAATTCCATTACGACATCTATGCCAAGAGACGATAAAGTCACTAATTCTGTACCAAGTTTCTGCTTGTTACAAATCCTTTTTTTTTTCTTTTCATGAGAAACTGCGGAGGATGTGTTTCCTATATATAAAGGTACTAAATAATATCTAATAATAGAATAGAACGCGTTGGTTTTGGAGTACATAAGATAAGGGTTTTATTAACTTTATCTTACATAACATGAGTTTAGTTTTCAACACACACAATAATGAACAGAGAGAAAGTAGAATGATGGAAGAAAGAGAAAAACATATAGACCCCACCTCTTTAATGTGTGTGTAGGAAAGTGAAGTTATGTTATGTAAAATAATAAACATAAAACCTATAAGATAAAATCTTTATGAGTTAATGTTATCAAAAAAAAAAAAAAATCTTTATGAGTTCCATAGAATATTACACTGTAACTTATTATATAAAAATTAAAAAAATTGAACTGCAGTTCAAACCGTGTCTAAGAAAGTAGAATCCCCTCGCGATTGTGACGTACCAGTACCAGGTTCATTTTGCAATCTACGCTAGCAAGAGCACCTCTAACTAACGTTCTACGTTCCTATGTAGATCCATCGTTCGGACCACAAGCATCAGGGTCCCACTTATTGTCTCCACATTGCTGCATTGTCCAGTGGGTAAACAAAAACGCATGTAAAAAGAATTAATGGTATTAAGTCCCATAATATCTCGGTAGTTAATGGTTCCAAATTCTCCCGACCCAGCAATGTGGTTAGTTACTTTGTTGTCTCGGTTCTGTTTTATCAGCAAGTGACTAAATATGGGGGAACATATTGTTCGTTATACAATATATAATGGAAAATGAGAGCAGAATGTATATTTTGGAATGTTATTGACCAATGAATTGGAGGATTTGTTTTTTGACAAATCAGTAATTAAGAAGCAAAATGGTTGTTGGTTTATTTGAGAAAGATAAGCAAGGATATAGTGGTAAAGAATTGTTTCAATTTAAATGTTTTTTTTGGTAAACAAAAAGGCCTAAGCCACAAAACAAATAAAGAACACAAAAAGAAACTTAACTATTGCTGCTCAAAGCACAAGGTCTCCCAGATCTGCAAGCAATAGTAATTAGAGGTGTTCTTCATTCAAAGCAAAATTATGGGATGTGCTCACTAGAAATGATGCAGCAGTCCGTGAGAATCATTTGATTTCTCGCATAAGGACATAGATCGATAAAAATTGGTCTATGATTTTAAGGCATACTTTGAGGGAGGAGAACTCATGTGTAGACTGGTTGACGAATTTTATATTAAACTATGAGGAGCAGAAAAACTATTTTGTTTGGCACGAACCTCCTCCTGGCATCCAATTATTGTTCAATTTAAATGGTTAAAATATTAAGTAAAGATCACATTAATCACATTTATGTTAAAAAAAGTTCCTAATATTTAATTATTCATTAATAGAAAGAGAACGGTGAATATTGAACTCATGATCACTTGGTCATCCAAACTCTTATATTGTATAAAGAATCATTTTAATCCAAAAATTAAACTATTAAATAAAAATCACATTAATAGTTTTTAAACTATATTTCTCTAAAAATAGCCCAGGAGGCCACAACCCCCAATCTTCATTTGTACATGATCAATTTAATTGATTCGCTTGCTCTACATGGACCCCTACATTGCCTACTAAATCCATAAACAAGGAGATTTCATCTTTGTCACGACAAGTATGGAGAATCCCCAAATGGTTCCTCACTCACTCAACCATAAATTGTTGGACTTTCCTTCTACATTTCTTCTTTTGTAGCTTACGATAAGGTCAGTGACCATGCTAATTGGTCCATGCCTTCCTCAAAAGCCCTCCCGATCCGATCTAATCCAAACCTTTGTAGCTACGGTACTATGTTCAAATTAAAGGCCATGCAAGCTTGTTTGTCAAAGAACGAACACCTCACTTCCAAGATAGCAAGACCCCACGAACCTCTCTCATTGAAGAACCTTATTAATTATAATTGAATATGATTTGAAAGTTGTACAAGGATCCTCACCCACAAATTAAGATTAGTTAACTATAACATATATGCTGAAGTCGATGAAAGTCTTCCCATGAAGAAAAGTACAGTGAGAAAACAAAAACAGAAACTGTGGTTCCCAAAGGAGGAGCTTTTCTTTTAAAAGCAAATGTGAAAAATGGGCCATGTAAAAACCCCTAAAGTCCAACAAAGTCATATTCCTCACATAGGATAAGAGGGGAATGAGTGGCGTTGAAGTTGCTTCCAAACTAAGACGTGTTCAAGTGGATATTTTACTTAATGAAGTAAATGGATTGTGAGCTCTGTGCAGGTGGGGTTTGAATTTTGATTATTTAAGTGAATATTATTATTTTATAGCGACAGGATATTCTTACACTGCTGTAAGAATAAGAAATCTTATATCAAATCTTGATCGTTTATTTGCTTGCATCTAATAGTTTAAATATCTCATAAATCAGAACCGTCGTATATAAATAGAATCAACGATCTAAATTGAGAATATAACTTATATTGATATATAATGATGCTGACCCAGTTTTATATTATGATTGTATATAATTGAATACGCTCAAACCGTTAAAAAGTATTTCATAACAGTAATCTGCTTGTAATTAATATATAACGCAAAGTCGTTGACCCAATTCCATATTTACCAACCAAATGATCATGTCAAATATTAAACCCATTTATTTTCTTTCATGAAAATGGTCCAAGTTTTAGGCCAACACTTCACATGACAGCTATTTTGTTTCCCCATCCTTAATTCCCTCCGATGTCTTTGAGGGTTTATAGTTATAGTAATAGGATAATGCAGTTTGGCAGAATATATCAATGTTTTGGTCACGTGGTCAGGGTCAGAAAGTGACCGTTAATATGCAATTTGACATCTTATTAGAATATAAATAAATCTTAATATAGTTCTGTACAAATAAATTATTTAGCGCACTGCACGCACATTATAGGTAAGTACCACAGACAGGGATTACTTTATCCTAATTTTATTCACTCGTCAAGGGCTTTTGTAACAGAGGCTCGAGGTCAAAATAACCCCAGGAAAATTAACAGGAGTGCAGCATGTGCAAAGGCTTTATTAACCTACAATCCCGTTCTCTCTATTATATGTACAAACGCAATATCTTTTTCTTAATAAATGCATCTTTCTTTGTTTCTTGTCACCTATGTATGTTTGACCAGTGGGGCTCGTCGTGGATGATCACTTTAATGTCCAATCAACGGTTGATGCTCCTCCCTTAAATAGACCAATTAAGTACAAGCATGCATTTCTATTTGATATATGGAAATTTTTTTATACTTTTGAAAAATATATAATTATAATATTAAAATTGTATTTTTTTTCTTTTACTTTTTACTTTAGCCAACGACTTTTAACTAAGAGAGAAAAAATACAGTTTTAATTAATATTATAATTGTGTATTCTCCCAAATACATAGGTGTAAACATTTAAAATGACACAACTTACGTATTTTGACATGAAAAATCATTTTCCCTTGATATAAACCCAACAATAGTGAGTGGCATGGGAAAAACACTTGGGGGCGGCCATCATCAAAATGTTCACAAGTGCTTGTAGGATGCCACCATGTGCATGTGTATCCAATGTTACAAAGAGACGTTAAGAAAAATAACAAAAGGAAAATTTCAAGTGCCGGCTTTCTTAGCTTAGGCGGTGGTAAATACTCCTCTTTCTATTTTGAAAGCAATTTCTAGGATTCCCCTAACTTTTTGTGTACTGCCTGGACAAACCTACCTGTTACAATCAATTCCTTGGAAGTTTGATAATGTAGTATAAAAGTCCAGATTAATAAACCTTTATAAGATTGCGAGAAACTTTGATGGTTCTGGCCTTCTGTGGCATTTTTTTTTTTTTTTTCAATTTCCTAAATGCATCATTTATTAGTTTGTGGAAACTTTGGATATGAAAAAAGTAGGCCCACGTGACTGCACCAGTCTCGTCCTATATAGCGTGTGACTTTGTGATAGTTATGGTTGAGGTTGAGCCGTTGAGGTTACTACTCTCCAACCTCCAAATCCAAATGCGGTGTTACTTGTTAGGGTGAACTATCACATTAATAAAGAGGGTGTGTGATGGTAACTTCTCACGGATGCTTTGAAATAGGGGGAGTTCTGTGAAACAGTGGCAGAGGCAGATAGCTCGTGAAGTTAACACTAACACTTTTTTTAAAGAGGTTCAATCTAGCAAAGAGCAATGCTAGTATATATACTCTATAGGCTACGTTATTATTTTTTTGTATTGGTAGACCAGAATATTGGCGCCAAGCAAGAACAAAACAATATTTGAACTAAATTAGTAGTACCATTGGAGTCAACAACGACAAACTTGAAAGTAATTTCTTCATTATGTGTAACTATAGATATTGGTACTTGGGATGGGAGGCCAATTAATTGCAGGATTAACCATGCCCTCTGTTTGAGGGACACCTCCTCGTTAAGGTTATTGTTAATGACTAATGATTAGTTGCATATAGCTTTTTCTTCATGTTTGTTGAGTCACAATGGCGGAAAGAAATAAAGATAACAAGAAAGAAATGAAGGGAAAAAAGAGAGGATATTAACGTTAGAGTACAACAACAATGTGCCATTATGATTGTGTGCTTAGCTTTTAGACTCCCCCGCCAAACAAATGCATGATTACTCGTGGGCCATAGATTAGTCATGCATACTAACAATAATAATCTAAAAGCACAAGTAAACCAAGCTATAGAAATAAGCTAATAATAAAAATCATAATATGAAATCTCTGTGTGTCCGTCCACAGAAAAAACAAAGCACGAGTTAACTTAGCATCAGTAGAGTAAAACACTAAAAGTGTAAAAGGATTAAGTGATCCTCTTAAAACAAAAACTAATTGCACCGCGTGGAAGCTTTATGGTGGCAAAAAATCCCATTCCCGTTGATAAAGGGACAATCCCCCCAACAAAAAAAACACTCCCCCACAATTGTCTCTTTAATTCTTGAATGAACCGTTGATCAAAAGCTATCATATCATATCATATCATGATTTGCAATTTCCGATTTACCAGCAAAGTGATTATTTACTGATTAACAAAAGAAGAGCTAGAGGGGCAAAATGGAAAAAGGAGGATAGTGTATCCCAAAAAAGAAAAAGAGGTGAGGGAAAAAAATAATTATTCTCAATAACCAAAATAAATCGGAAAGTGGGTTCCACTCTTTTGGGGCTATAAATAGGGAGGTTTCTCTACAAGCCAAAGTCCTCTGGCTGTGGAAAAAGCATTGCTCCACATTCACCTTCACTTCACTTCTCTCTGGTTTCTCTTTCCTTAATGTTAAGAGAGAGCCAAAACAATAACATAGAGAGAAACGCATACACACTAGTACTAGTACTAGTACTACCTCTTCAATTACAATAAAATGGTCGACGTGGACCGGAGGATGACCGGTCTAAATCCGGCTCACGTAGCCGGTCTCCGGCGGTTATCGGCGAGAGCTGCCGCAGCACCGTCCCTACCTGTGCGTAACGGTGTCGTTTCATTTTCTTCACTGGTGGACAAGGTCATAACCCACCTCCGCAACTCAGGCATACGGGTGCAACCTGGTCTCTCCGATGCAGAGTTCGCGCGTGCTGAGGCTGAGTTCGGATTCGTGTTCCCACCGGACCTCCGAGCCGTTCTCGCCGCCGGTTTTCCCGTCGGCCCCGGTTTCCCTGATTGGCGCTCTGCCGGCTCTCGCCTTCACCTCCGTGCCTCGCTGGACCTTCCGATCGCCGCGATTTCGTTCCAGATCGCGAGGAACGCTCTCTGGTCCAAGTCTTGGGGCCCTAGACCTTCTGAACCGGAGAAGGCACTGCGAGTTGCGAGGAATGCGCTGAAGAGAGCTCCACTATTGATTCCAATCTTCAACCATTGCTACATTCCATCCAATCCATCTCTCGCCGGAAATCCTGTTTTCTTCGTTGATGAGAATAGGATCTTCTGCTGCGGTTTGGATCTCTCCGATTTCTTCGAACGCGAGTCACTGTTCCGGAGCTCCGAATCCGATCCTCAGGTCCTCAAGAAGCAGCGATCCGTTAGCGAGAAATCCGCGGGTTCCTCAACCGCTTTCTCTCGGAGGAGTCTTGACACCGGAGGCAGGACCCCGAGGTGGGTGGAGTTCTGGACCGATGCCGCCACCGATCGCCGGAGGAGGAACTCTTCTTCGTCGGCGTCGTCGCCGGAGAGGTTTTTTGAAATGCCCCGGTCTGAAACCTCGGGTTGGGTGAAGGAGTACATTGGACAAATCGGGTCGGTTTTGAGGGCGGGTGGGTGGAACGAATCGGATATATCCGAAATGGTGGAGGTTTCGGCTTCTGGATTCTTCGAAGGGGATATGGTGTTGTTGGATAATCAAGCGCTGCTAGATGCTCTGCTCTTGAAAGCGGATAAGTTTTCGGACTCGCTCCGAAAAGCAGGGTGGAGCTCCGAAGAGGTCTCCGAAGCTTTAGGATTCGATTTTCGACCGGAGAAGGAACGGAAACCGGCTAAGAAGCTATCTCCTGAACTGGTGGAAAGAATAGAGAAACTGGCTCAGTCAGTTTCCCGGTGATGATTCTTGGAACTGGATGAACACTTTTTTTAATTTCATTTTATTTTTAAGATCTCAGGGTTTACTTTTTTTTTCTCTCCCCCACTTTTGGGTTAAAAACGATGAGGAATTGGGGAAACATGTTGTACTATGAAACAAAATGCACAAAATAGATCAAAAAGGTTCAAAATTTACATGTTTATGATCATCCTATCTTTATATATATAAATGATAAGTTCATAATAAATGATCAACGGTTAAGTAAATACTGCTGTGTACAGCAAAATGAATTTCCTGAACAAGTTCTTTCTTTTTTAATTTTATGCACTGCTACTTGCTATTATGATTTTCTTTACCTTGTGTATTTTTGTGATTTTCTTCTTACTTTGCTTGATTGTGTTCGCATATTATATGAATGAGCAGAGTAGAAATGTTTAGCTGGCTACGGCTCTTGTTTCTAAATAACCAGTGCACGTGTGTATGTGAGCATACACATACACATATATTGAATATTTTTAATTGAAAGTTGAGCCTCCAATCAGAACAATGGCTGGTGCGTGGGTATGGAACAGCACAGCATCATATCATCTCCCATCGAATGCCAGGCCAGAAAATGCAGTTGTCGTGTTTTGCTCTCAAAGAGATTGGGTGAGTCATTTTAAAATGATGTTATTTTAGCAAGGTATGAATGAATGATACTTGAAAAGATGAACAAGTGTTAAGAGCAAGCCGAAAGGTCTCATCTTTTAAGTATTATTTCAATTTCAATGACACTTGAAAGGATACGTGATTTTTTATTTTATTTTTTTGTTTCTGAGCTCAATTTCCTTGGAATTTGGAAAAGGATATGCATGTATGGGTTTGCAGGCAGTGAAAACTGACACACAAAAATGATAATAGTAATAATAGGCAGACAGAAGAACGAGGTACCCCGTTGTTTTTTTGGGGTGAGAAAGGTAGAAACTTTGGCATGGACATGGGGTTTAGGCAAAGGCAAGTGTCGTTATTTAGCATTGAAGTAGGAGGCAAATTTGGAATTTGAAAGGTAAGTGACTATTGAGGAAAGCTGGGGCCACGTGATTGGGGCCTCCCAAGTTCCAAGTCCAACCCTAGTGTTCCGTACAACTTAAGGAATAGAAACAAGGTGCATGAATGGAGAGAGGCTTTAGCGTTAGCACTATCCGTTGTTGTTTACTTGTTAACTTCTTCACACCTCCTTCCATTCAGCTTTCAAATATGTTAGTCTGGTAATGAAAAATGAAGTTGATGTTTTGTATATTTTTGGTCAGGGTTTTTGTCTTTTTGCTTGTTTTGTGAACATTTGGGGGAGCATCTATCTTACATTAGCGCAGGTCCTCATGTGAAGGAGCGTGGGATTGGTACGGGACGAGAAAGATGCATTTTGATTTGATTTAAACTTTCTAATTTCGAAATCAAATTAATATATCGATGAATTATTTGTAACATCCATTAAATAAATTCATTTTTTTAATATAAAAAAAAAAAAACTTGAATTCATCCAAAACAGTATGAACTCTTCGTTCTCTATTATTTAAAATCTTCATAAACCAACAAAGGAGTGAAGGATCATGATATTTGATTTTGTTTACGAATTAAATGCATGATTAGATAAATGTCTGTCTTGAGTAAATTTTGAAAGTGAAATCTGGGAACCACAACTCAATGTTACAACTTACAGGGGAGGATGAGTATTGAATAGTTTTGTCACTTGTACATGACTCTTTCTTCAGAAGTAGTGGTGTTTCATTTTTCTTTTTTTGGGTCGAAGTGGCAGTGTTTCATAGGTATAGTAAAAAGGTTAGTGGAGAGACAAAATAGGCAGCTACATATAAGTATGTAACATCTGAGTTTGATGTTGGTGGATTTAGACAACCAGATGTGAAGAATTATTTTGACTGAGGTGTACTTATGACATATAAATCAACCTTTGACACCAGTAATTTTTTCTTAAGGAATCAAAAGGACTCCAACATCCTATACAACAACAACTAACAATAACAGCATGCAATGAAAAATGCAATATATACCCATACATATTCCAAAAAAAGAAAAAGAAAAATGTAATGGGCATGAGTAAGTGACACATAGCAAATGGAAAATAATAGAATCAATAAATGCAATTCACCAACGGTCACTGCACTGAATATGCCACCTTCTTCCCTGCACAGTGACTCTTGGACCCGACCGTTGATCTTCTGTCAATTCTCTCTCATCACTGATTCATATGACGTGTGTTCACCGCCAAGCACGTGCCTCCCATCCCTTCCGTTCTTCATTAAGTAGTATAGCCTTCGCTTCCGTCGTTTTTGTGTCTCAGCCACCTCACTCAATCCCAGGGCTGTAAATAGACAAAAGTGGCCTAACAAAGAGGTACAGTATAAATTATATCAGGCCAGAATCAACTCATTATATATGATTAAAGGGTTGACGGTATCATTTAAAAGAACACAAGTTGTTTCTTTTTAGTGACTTACACAGAAGTTGACCGGTCATATTTTTACTTTTCACTTTACACGTCGGCGATGTGATTGAGGAGAGAGAAAAAAAACAACTTTTCAGAATTAAACAAAGTATGACTAGTCATACTTTGTGTAAATCATCTAAAAGGACACAACTTGTGTCTTTTTAAATGATATTTCTTTTTCCCATAATTAAAAAAATATATTTAAATTTTTAAAAAATTTATTTAGAAAATAGATCATATTTTTTTTGGATTTTATTAATTTCATATTAAATGAGATAAGTTATCTCATGTTATAAAGATAAACTTGTGGGCTCCACCACCTGAAAAAAAAAAAAAATGTGGTACAGTTATCGAAGAGTGTGTAGGAGAGAAATTTACCACATGTAGCATAAAAGTAGTTTTTCTCTTTTTTTTACATGTCCAGCCTATAAGTTTACATACTGACTTATATCATATTATTTAATTTAAATTAAATAAATAAAATAGTTATTTTAATATTTTTGAATAATAAAATAATATTAATTTAATTATATTTTAATTATTAAATACCTAATAGACTTAAATAGACTAACAAACTTAGACCAAGACTTTTATTTTTTAAATATAAATCAAGCCAGGTATATAATTTGATCCTACACAAGGGTAACAGACCAAGTCAGGCCTAAAATATTTTACACAAATCTAATTCATTAAGCCAAGCCTAACTCAGTTTATTTACAGCCCTACAGTTAGGGGTATAAATGGACTAGGTCGACCTATACAGGTCTACGGCTTAGCCTATATTAGATCAGACTTGACCTATTACAAATAGTCAATTAGAACAAGCCTAGTCTTTTTAAAAAAACCTATTTAAAAAATAGATCATAGACTTTTTTACATATGTCGAGCCTATAAGTCCATAGGCCGGCCTATATTATATTATTTTTTCTAAATACAATAAATAAAATAATTATTTTAATAATTTTGAATAATAATATAATATTATTTTAATTATTTCTTAATTATTAAATATTTAATAGACTTAAACAAACTTAAAGATTTTAAACTAAGACTTTTATTTTTTAAATCAAAGTCTAGCCTATTTACATCTTTACTTATGGTCAACCCCACTCTTCCAATTCATTTTGGGCTCCACCTAGCTCATTTAATCATGGGAAATATATATGTTATGTAACATAATATAAAATCAATTTCTTACCCAAACAAACTTTGGTGGGACCCATCATAAAAAGAAAAAAAGAAAAAAAAAAATGTTGACACAATATTCGATGTGAGTAGGAATGCTTTTCTATATCATGTTACGTGATAGAAATATTACCCTTTAATCATACCCGTTGATTAAAAAATATTTCAAATTCAATACAAGAAGAGTGTGGTGGTGATCTGATGGAAAGATAGATTAAGCATGAACGGTAGTGGTGAAGCTCAAATCAAGTTATCTTGTCTCTCTGAGTGGGTGATGGTAGTGGTGACCAAGTTTGAACTTTGTGAACCTTGAAGCGCTCCTGCTATTGGTTTTTGTTCATGCAAAGGGAGACAAGAGTCTATACAACGTGAAGAATTTGCAGTGTGACGATGGATGGTGACTACACGTTGTTGACATTAAGGCAAGCTTGTCGAATCTTCCAACGTTGTCCTCTTGCTATGTGGTTAGTGTTTTTTATGTCTACTTCTTAGATTAGTGTGCATATAATTAATTGTTGGACCAACTTTTTTGTTTTTGTTTTTGTTTTTGGGTGTCAATATTGTTGGACCAGCTTCGGCTCATGCATCCATCGTCCTCGTAGACCTCCTACTTTGCCTTTGGGTCTGTGCTTGTCAATGTCATCATACTCTGAAAACACAGAAAATCAATCAGAGACCATTTTTGAATCATGAACATATTAATGTGTGCTTTTGATATGTAACCATCAAGGGACTGAGGGACCAATTCATTTGACTAATTAAAACAGAATAGACAAAACATTTGGCTTCATGCATGTCCAGGAATTGCAACAAAAGCACTACTTACCACCAATTTCACGTTACAAATTGGAACGGGTCTACAAACATAGGTAACATTCGGTTTCTTTTAGTTTTTTCTTCTTATTTTGGGTAGACCATCGTCTTTATCTTTACCCCTTCTTAGCAACAAATACGTCTAAGGAGAATAATGAAATAGCATATACGGCCATGAGGACAAATGTTTCGAGCTTCAACCTACCCTATAACTCGTAAGACCAAAAGAGGTGAGTTACGGATTGCAGGCTCAATCCCTGACATACCCGAAATTTGTTTGATTCCAGAGCTAAGGCCAGAACTTGCACAGAACAATACGAGTTTCTTAGAATGTTTTTTTTTTTTTTTTTTTTTTTGTAAAACAGTTTCTCAGAATGTTATTGCCAAGCTAAAATACATGCTACATAAAATATGAGATTTGCATCTATCATGTCACATGACACAAAAAAGTTTTCTACACACACAACATTTTGTGAAGCCCGCACTTTTTGAAGCAAAAAAAAGCTAAGGCATGCAAAACGAATCTCTATAACATTACACAATCACTTTTCCTACAACATAACTCTTGTAAAACCCAAAATATATATACAAAACCTTTGAATGAAAAAGATGGAAAGCTATAAAATATGTTAGTTATTGATTTAAAAGTGTGCCCCAAATACGTGAATGTGAATAAGTAAAAAACATCCTTGCTTGATATAAGGTCTGCCACGGCCCACGCTATGGAGAAAAAACTTGGGCCCTGTTTGCTGAATAATTTACACTTAATAATTTATTAAAGAAAAGTGATCAGGTGATAGTTCAGTTAATAACAAGAAAATTGAATAAGTGAAAAAAAAACCCTCAGTTCAATCCTCTCACATATCACTTTCGGGAGAAATTTAAATATATTTATTTCTGATCCGGCCCGTACTCCGGATTAGTTCCATAACTGACTCAAAGAATCGAAATTTATGAAAATACTAGAAGAAGACAATTCAACTCAAAAAGATAATTAAGGTTGAGTTAACTCAAAAAAATAAAAAAAAAAATACCCCTAGCCAGACTCTGAAATATAATGAAACTATTGGACACAGATTGAGAACATAAATTCGATTTTCTTCTCTCGTATCAATCATTATATAATTTCATTCTGTAAATCACAATCAAATGTTAGCAAGACATCTTAAGATCCTAAATGACTAGCATTGTATGTACTAAAAAATAAAATTAAAAAAATGACTGGCATTGTTGTATAATACCCTGCATTAAAAGAATGCAGATGTTGGCTCAACGGCTCCAATTTTTGTGCTGTACAACTTTTCTGTAACTTAAAAAGACAAATCGTGACTAAATAGAATCATAATTATACTTCCTGGAAAATTTGTGTCTACTTCCTCCTCAAGACACTCTTGGAGCAGATCTTGTTACCTTAACACGATACGAAGCCTGCAAATAACTTTGATGCTCAGAATCAGATATCATAAATAATGCATCATTTGAAGCGAATTTGCATATTTTCAGCCAAGAACATGGCAACTAATATTATACATAAAAGATTAAGGAAAATATGTTTCTCATGTTACTGGGTGGGACTTACTAAAGAGAAGAGAAAGAAAGGAAAAAAAGTAGGTTTCATCCACTTTTTGTGTATTATACGAGACAAAATTGCCATTATGGAACATGAGAAACATATTCTCCAAATATTAATGTCAGTATGGAAGACCATAAAACCTTATGAGAACCAAACTCAATCACATCAGATGGGCGGACACGAGCAGGATAATTTGGAGGTACCCTGTATCGTCTTCCTTCATTGCTGAAAAAATTATGAGAATGAAATTAAATATACATTTTCAAGAATTTAAACTTCAGACAAAAAATAGTACCCTGAAATTTCTTTTACATACTCGGTGATCCAGGTGCCATGTTGACTCCGCAAATCAGTCAAGAAGAAGGCACCATCCTTATAGTTAATTCGAGCATGCATTTGAGAAACCTATAAAAGAGAAACTTTGTTACATGATGTTGAAGACCATTATGTGTGGAACCATGTTTAATTAAGGTCATATGATATATTGTGTTACGTGGGGTAATGGTATTGTAATTGAACAGCCCTGATAATCTTCTTGCGGTTCGCTCCTGCAATCACAATTACATAAGAAAATGTGTTGAAAGTGAAAAGAAAATAGTTCTATGATTATTGAGAACTTTGCTCATGTTTAAAAGACACATCCAAAATCTGATAGGTACACTATCAGAATACGTGATTATGTCACTGCATTGTAAGTAGGTGCAACTGAAGGCATACCCGATTACGCAGGGTTTCATCTCATCTTGACTTAAACATATAGGTTTCGAAAGATCTGCTTCATCTCCACATGGTGATAAAATCCACCTATAATTCAAACAAGAAGGATGGAACAAGAGTTATGTGATCTATCATCTATATATATGGTAGACAATATGCTAAGGATGATATTAATTCATATTGGGCCATAGACATACTCTCCATTAATAGCACGCTCAAGTGCATCATCATCTTCAAACCATCTGTGTAACTGGTCATTGGCCTTCATAAATAATCAAACGCTAATTAGCATCCTGATCACAACAAAATCTAATAGACACGACAAATAAAAGTCCAGCCACCATTTCTTCTTATTTAAAAAGTAAAAAAGTATATGTATTTGAGCGACATACTTTGTCTGAGAGCCTGCAACATAGTGGTCTATCTTCAAGTTTGGAGCTGCAAAAGTAGCATCGTTTTTCATGCTTTAAGTAAATGATGGAAAAAAAATTGAATTTTTTTTCAAAGGTTTAATTATATATATTATTTCCAATTCTTATTGCCAACTAAGAAAAATCAGAAAAACATTTTGCACCATATTATCAGTTTCTTCAGCTTCCCATCCTTTTTGAAGTAATCCATTGGCTCAGATTTCTAACATTGCATGTTGCATGAGATGACTGGAATACCAGCCTAAATAATTCATGATGAAAGTTACATAGCAAAGAAATGTGGGCTTTCATCATTACCTATTGCCACCTAAAACCCAGTTCAACATCAAAGGCATCATCTTGTCAATAAAGAACCTTCCTCCGACCCTTCCAGGATGTGGTATCCGAAACTTGGTCAAAAACTGTAACAGAAAGCAACCACGAATTTGTGGGCAGCAGCATATCAATTTGAAGTGTCACCTTTCACTTTATTTTTCATTATCTTATTTTTCAAATTAAAGTTCCTACCTCTAAAGGCCCAAGACCAACACCCAGATATGCCTTGTAGGTAGAAGCCATCAGAGCTGCCATTCTAGCCATTCCATGAATAATGGCAACTCGTAATCTTCTTTCTCTCTCGTAGCTGAAAGAAACAATGGGAAGGGGCAAAATACAGGAGCAATGAGTCAGCAAAAAGATTTATAATCAAATCAACCAATTTGAAAATGATGTAAGATAAATTACTGGACCATTGGCTGAGATGTACAAGCATCTCTCTGTTCAAATCAAGTCAACAAATTCATCATTTTTAAGATCATTTTAGATGAGAATATTTTAGTGCTTTTGTCTTCCTCTCACGAGTTCCAAAATTCTGGTATTTGTTATTAATTAAGCAGCTTTAGATTGAAATTCAGATTTCATTTGCATATTTGAGAAGTGAATAGTTCGTTACCTCCTTAAGGAAGAATCGATGTCAATTGGAGAGCCTGATTTTATACTCCGTTGCCATGCATTGTCCAACTCGCATGCAAGTTGATAACTGTCCTGTAATGATAGAATAAGCCAGTTAGAAAGGTTCTTTACCTCACCTTTGAGTGTTCCATAGATAGTTTGACTTTATTGATGTCCATCGACTCTACAAGTTGGCAAATTTCAATTTTATGCATGTGTTTTTTCATCTTCGTTATGTAAAGAACCAATTCAACCCAAAAGCTTAAACTCTTGAGTGAGGATACATTAATGGTTTTATATATCTCTACACGCCCCCTCACACGAGAGTCTACTGGACTTGAAGGGTGAACAATGCACAGACGACTTGAAGGGTGGACAATGCACAGGCCCACCTACCTGTGCGAAGAAAGAAATTCCACTAGAAAGAAAGTGGAGGCGGTGAGGATCGAACCCGGTACATCGAAGCTCTGATACCATGTAAAGAACCAATTCAACCCAAAAACTTAAGCTCTTAAGTGAGGATACATTAATGATTTTATATATCTCAACAGTTCTGCATACGGCTGTGTGTGGTCTAAAAAATAAAGTAGTTTATTTCTACAGCCTTGGGAAGAACATAATAATATAACAATTATAGAAATATATACCTCAGGGAGTTGCTATGGTACCTAAATGCTGATTTTATAATATAAATTTATGAATCTATTATTTATACCTCAATAGCCATGCATCCTCCTTGGCCCATATTTGGCTGCATGGCATGGATTGAATCACCAAGCAAGGTCACACGGCCTTTTCCCCATGTCAATGTTGGCGTCTTGTCATATATGTCTCGTCGCAGAATTGCCTCTTCTTCTGTGGCAAGTATCAAATCTATTACGTTATCACACCAGCCATCGAATATCTTAAGCAGCCTTTCCTTTTTTCCTGCCATATAGAAAGAATTTAGAAGTTAGTTACAGTAAGATTTGGATTTTTCATCATGATAAATGAAGACAAATAGCTATTATTTTTTCAAGGTCATCCAATTTCTATATATCCAATGTCACAATTAGTGTCACGGAACCAGTCAATCTGACTTGCTACTCCATCTTAGTAACTTTTTGATGTCAAAAGGGATGGAGTAAAAAGTAAGTAACCACATGAGAAATAGAGTCTAATGTAGAAAGTGCTTCAATAGCATTTACGAGCATCTTTGTATTAGATAATTTCAACACAATTATCATGCTACGCATGCTTTCTTAATCTCTTAAAGGATGCCATGAACATCCTTTTTTTCCCTTACTTTCCCTTTCCCTTTCACTATCAATAGCAACTATCGGCAGAACAGTTGATAACTAGTTATCAGCTGCATACAAATTATCTTTGCCCAAAATGTCAAACCCAAAAATTAATTTGTCAGTACTGCAATAGTTGAAATTTCTTTTTAGGTATGGAACTTTTGGATCAATTCATTTATCTTCTATATATTCGGAGCCAGCATCAGTTATCTAGAAGCTAGGACAAAAAAATACAAATATTATTTCTTGTTTATAATGTAGCACCAAGAAGATTTAACATCTACAGAGGTTGTGCTCTGACGACAGATGTCAAATATCGAACACATTCAGAGGACATACCATTGGGGATATCAACACCACCAGCATGTTCTTGGTGAAATGCATACCATTGCATCTTTCCAGCGCCAACATCTGAAGAAACAAAGTATTGCTTGTGTCCTAAGAAAACTCGGTACCTTCCAGTAGGGAAGTTCAAGTAAGCTTCTCAACATGATATAAGTAATATTAACCATAAAAAAGGCCAGTGAAAATGGACAAATAGGCATATAAGACACGAATGATGACCAACTTACCCAACAGATTCAATGTCAGCTGGCACAAAATCTGCAATACCAGTATAACAGGTATAGCCAGAGTATGTAGCTTCTGTTGGCCCAAATAATTTTTTCCTCACCTATTCACAAAATAATAAAATTTTAAGATTATGTTAGATCAAGTATCCATGACCATAAAGTCTGTCTACAAACAGAATGACAGAAAAGTTCAGCACTTCTAATTTGAAGAAAAAAGCTGGTAAACAAATTCCCATGCACATGCATACACATCAAACATAATAAGACCAACCTTTTTCTAAAAGGATATTTTTACCATAGGCAACTTTGTAAATTCCTAGGATGCACTCTACTATACTCGTTATGTTAAGGAAGGATACATTTATTTCTTTATGGGGAAAATAATATGCTAACAAAAAGCTCGAAATCAAAGAAAAATTAATAAGACCTTGGACCATATCCCATCTGCTCCAACCAAGAGATCTCCATCATATTTCTGACCATTCTCCAGCTCCACCGTTACCTGCAATTGTGGAATGCGGGATGACACAAGTAATAAACCAAAAGATATTCAATCACATTAATCTGCCCACGCAATTTCTTGTAGAAAGAAATAAAAGCTTCAAAAAAATACCTATGTTAGCAATATGAGGAGAATCTTCAACATAAAAACTTTCTTTCATTACCTTGTTTCCATGATCAACAAAATCAACAACATTACTGGTATTCATAATAACATCTTCCCCAACTGCACGAGCAAGAATTTCTTGTAAAGCCATTCGACTAATAACTCTTGTGACTGGAAGCCCTCGTTCCACTGCAGGAGTGAATGTGTCAAACTTGATGTACCTGATAACCAAACTATATATCAACTCATGGTAGGACATGCTAGAATTTCGTAAAGCAAACCGTAGAAAACATGTTCAGTCGATATAAAATATTAAGGAAACAAGATGCTTGTTTGAGAAAGAAATGCTGATTTACATTAACAGAACTCCCGTTTACCTATATGCTGGAACATACATTATCCTATTGTTACATGCTTTTATCAAGATTACAAATAAGGGATATACTCATCAAGTGAGGTTTTTGCATTATCTATAAGAATCCTCTCACATAGGATTGATCAAATTCGTTGTGCAATTTGTGGGAAATAGAACAGATAACATACATGTTAACTCACATTCATGCAATGTTTTGTAAAGCTACAGAGTAACATGGATCAAGACTCCTGATCTAATGTACAATCCCGTGACAGGATTGCTTGTTAAGTAGGTTTGACACGATATCTCAACCCAAAATTTTAAAGCTGTGAGTTTAGGAATCTTTTCCATTTATATGATCCTCACTTGGTCCATTTCTAACAAACATGGCACTTCACGCTCACAGTTAAATTTCATTTCTATCAGTCTCAAGGGAAGTTAGCCAGAAATGAAAATGAAGTGTGGTGCTTTCCACTGTGCATACGACGGAATAAGGGATGGTGTATGACCAGCGAGGTTTGGTGAGGACTGAGAAGAGAGTCTTAGGGGTGCAATTTTTGCAGTGTCATTTCCAATGTGTGAGGGCGTGCCTTTTATAGACGGTTGGAGCGCATAGGTATGAAATGAGGAACGGGTCCCGCATGTGAGTGTGGGATGATATTGTTAAGAATCATGAGGTCACAACCCCAAAAGCTAGCTCAAAGGGTGGGAGTGCCCAAGGCCTTATAAACCTCACATTAGTTGCTCATACAACCAATGTGAGACTATATTTCTCAACACGCCCCCTCACACGAGAGCCCACTGGGCTTGAAGGGTGGACAACATGCAAGCCCACCTACATGTGGAAATTCCAATACAAAGAAAGTGGGAGGCGGTGAGATTTCGAACGCTCTGATACCATGTTAAGAACCAATTCAACCCAAAAGCTTAAGCTGTTGGGTGAGGATACATTAATGGTTTTATATATCTCAACACGCCCCCTCACACGAGAGCCCACTGAGCTTGAAGGGTGAACAATGCACAGGCCCACCTACCTGTGCGAAGAAATAAATTCCACTAGAAAGAAAGTGGGGGACAGTGAGAATCGAACCCGGTACACCGAGGCTCTGATATCATATTGAGAACCTTGAGGTCACCACCCCAAAAGCTAACTCTAAGGGTGGGAGTGTCCAAGGCCTTATAAACCTCACATTAGTTGCACATACAACCAATATGAGACTATATTTCTCCACAGCTATAATACAGATGCCAAATCAGATACATCATCTGTTCCTAAGGTAGCTAAAGATACCACACTACAGTTTAATGAACACACAACAAAGTAGTAAGTTGAAACTAAAGAATTTGTTTCTGAGGGTCAAGTAATACCCCATGCATCATAAACTAAACCAATATATATCTCATGCCAAAACAGGGAGAGTAAGGAGTAAAGTTTTAACTTACCAAGAGCCAGAAACCCCATCCACAAGCCCATTGATTCTATCACCGGTTATGCAACCAACTCTCATAACTTCATCAGCAACCTGCAAATCTATAGCTTCCAAAGCAGCCAAAGCATTGCTCTGTATCTGAATTGGACCCCTATATTGCCCCTCCCCTCTTATAGCACTCATATCCTTCTCAAAAACCACAACCTCAAACCCCTTTCTCTTTGCAGCCAAAGCAAGAACCAAGCCACCAATCCCTCCACCCGCCACAAGTACCCGAACCTGCTTCTTCTGAGGGGTTCGATCCCCACCATTTTCAGCCACAGTTTGCGTTGACTTCGAAACAGTACGCGCAGCCTCAGCCACTGTTGCTTTGACCCGTATCAGTTTCTTCATCTGCTTGTTTGTTGTTCTGCTTCCCAGGTGATACCGATAGCTATAGTTGACATAAGGTGAAATATCAAATGAAAGCTCTTTAAACATAGGAATAGAGAAGTGGGTTATTGAGAAAGCTGCCATTGAGTGATTGAGAGAGAGTTGTTGTAAGACAAGGGAGAAGCCACTGGAAGAAGACCAAGTATAAGCACCACAAGTCACAAGTGCGTGTGTGTGTGTGTGTCTTCTACTCGGTGCAATAAATAAAGATTAGATCATCATCATAGCTTGAAGTTGAGGAAGAGAAGGCAATGAATGCTTGAATATAAAAAGGGAAGGGAAGCACGCACTAACATGGAATAAACAAAAGAAGGGAAACGGTGTTGGTTGGTAGTGGAGTTTTGCAGGTTGGAGTTTAGAGAGAACTAATAAGAGAAAATGTGAGTGTGACATATGGGATCACCAATAATGGAGAAGGTAAAGCCAGGTGTCACGCTGTGGGTTAAGTGAGTGGCTATTGGTCAGGTTCATTTGACAGATTTAGATTTTGGAACCTAAGTTTTGGTATAGGTGGCTCAATCCTATGAGTTCACCAACAAAACAATAATCTGATACAAGATTGGTACCAACCGCCAGATTAAATTATTCAAGTTTCTTGGCATGTTACCTTTTTTTATGATAAATCTTAAAATATATCCCCACCTTCTCTGCAAAATAAAAAAATAAATAAAAGGAAATGCGGGTGATTAAAATAATTGTTTAAGGATCTTATTTGATCCCTGCTTTTAAGTATACGTTTTAAGAAATAGTTAATATTTGTTCTTCATAATAAAAAGCATTGGTTTTCGCATTAATTTTATAAATGAAAACTGCGAAACTCCGTAGAACTCACTTGAACTTTTTATTCAATGAAACAATAATTCTGTGTAAGTTACGGTAATTAATCTTTAGAATTTCTTTCCCGTGTAATTAATTGGGAAATGATATTGTGACAACCAAGTTGTGTTACTACCAAGTGACTACCAATCAATCTCACCGTTAGATCAATTATGTTGATCCAACGGTTATATTTATTTTCATCTTTGTATGGTCATGATTCCCCATATTTAAAGTGAAAGCATTAAATATGGGAAATCATAACCATACAAAGGTGAAAATAAATATAAAATATTAAATTTAGGGAATCATGACCATACAAAGATGAAAATAAATATAACCGTTGGATCAACATAATCATCTAACGGTAAGATTGATTGGTAGTCACTTGGTAGTAAAACAACTTGGTTGTCACAATATCCTTCCCCTAATTAATTAATGGGAAAAGCATTTTTTATTTTAAAAATATAAATTTATATTATTTTAAATGAAACGATATCATTTTGATGCATAGAGATTTTTTATAGGGTCCGTTTGTTTCTAGTGGCGGAGCCGGCAAGGCATTTAGCCGGTGCCAAAAAATTCAGCTCGTGCCACGGTTATATAGCTACGACCAAAACATGGCTAATTTTCAAAAATCTTGAAACATGATTTGTTACGTTTCAAACGTAGTTAAAGAAACGTGGCTAAATTAGCCAGTGTCACTTTTTGTTCCTGAAGTCAATATAGATAAATTATCTACGTTAAGCCCAAAACGACGTCATTTTGAGGCGAAAATTATGTTACTTTTATAATTATAATTTATTTCAAAATTATAATAATTGTTTATTATAATTTTTTAATATTTTAACTCAAAACGATATTTTTTTGGGAATAAAGGTATATACAGTGGTGGAGCTGAGGAAAAAAGTTAAGTAGTGCCAAAAGATTCAGCCAATAGAATCAGGTGGTGCCAAAGTTGTATTATTTTAAAAATTCAACTTATATCAAGGTTGTATAAAAAAAATTTAAAAAAATCTATACCAATTTAAAAAAATTATCTACTGTAAAACATTAAAGTCTTTTTTATATTCTCTTTTATTCACTTTCTCTCTCTTTCTAATTATATAAAGAGAAAAAAATATAAAAAATCTTCAAATATTCTCCAAAACAATATTATTTTATTTAAAATAATACAAAACTATGTCCTTTAAAATCACAAATATTTTTTTAAATTCCTCGTGTACTCTTAGGGTAATACTTATATTGCATAAGAAAATTATTATTTCCTATATTCATATTTTTCAAATGAATTCCACAATAATTTTTTTTTCTCACTTTTAACTTTCTTTTTTCTTCTTATTTATTGTTTAGGTAGGAGATAATATTTTTTTAGTGATACATAAAGAAAAATATTATTCATACTCTTGTTAAGGATATAAAGATGAGCCTTCCATAGTCAAACAACTTTTTTCAATTCAGAACCTGTCTTTAGTTTTTTTATGGTGTTTTTTTCAAAGATTTTCTGTTTTTTGTTATATCTATCGTTACTGGTTTCATAATTTTCAATGTCGATCTAGCTTTGGGCTCCTTCACCCCTCCAGGACAAAGAGAAGGTGGCCCTATAAATTAGTTCAGGGGGACCTGAACTTTTCGGAGCCTCATAAAATAGAGCTATAAAAAGAATATTTTATAAAATGTATGAGTATTTTTAAATTTTAAGTAAAATATAAAAGGGAAATATTACTCTCCTTTTACATGAGGTAACTTATCTCATTTTCTCTCACATCGATTTTCGCACCCCACTTTTTTCTTCTTTTTCTTTTTTCTTGTAATTATAGGACTCACCCATTTTCTCTCTACCACATAAGATAATTATCTTATGTGGAAGGAGATTAATAAAACCCAATATAAAATTAAAATTATTGAGATATATTTAAAAATGATATACTCTAATTTAATATATAAATATGAACTAAATTTAAGCAACTAAATTTACTCATCATAAGAATTTTATTTTTTTGGTTTTTTAAAATATTATTTTACTAAGTATAAAATTATAAATTGGTTAAATTACATGAAATCACCCTAAACTTCAAGTGTTTTTTAGAAGACCACCTTGCACTTCTAATTGAAACAATTAATCGTCTTGTACTTCAACATTTCATCAATTAGATATATTTTACAAATTTAAATTAAAAATATCCCTTTCTTCAAACTGCTATCAGATATTGTACATCCTGCTCGTGAATTAATGAAGATGCAACATGTCACATCATGAGAGTTTGTTTTATGAGTTTTATAATTCTCATTTAACATGAGAATTTGAATTTTCCTACACACTCTTCGATTTTCGTGTCAACGTAGGTCTTACACATAATTTTTTCTTACATACGGGTCCCACATACTTTTTGTCTCTACAACATGAGAATTCAATTCTCATGTTAAATGAGAAATATAAAATCCTTGTTTTATAATGGAAAAACAAAAAAACAAGTTGCATTGAAGCTGTTGCATTTTGATCGGCAACACATCATGTCCATCTGTTTCTTAGGATTTTTTCTACGGAAAATGAAGGATGCGATGCAAATAAGAAGAAATACAGTCTATTATTTTTTCGAGAGGCAAATATTTAGTGGGTTTAGTATTTTTTTTTTAAAGGATATAAAGTTATATTATTTTAAATGAGATAGAGACATAAATAATAAAAATTATAAGAGAGAAAGTAAGTGATTTTTTAAAAAAAAACTAAATAGTGTCTTTTTCTTACTTAAAATGATATAATTGTATATCTTACTTGCCCGATACAGAAATTGTTGACAAGAAATCAGTTTAGTAGGTATTGCTAATTCTCGTTATAATTCCAATTCATGATGATTAATGTTGTGTAGAGAAAATTTGGTTTGAGGCGTAGGGGTAACCATCCTTCAAGGTGAAAAATGACTGCATTGAACTACATGTTTTCTCCTTATTTTCTATTTGCAGTGGTAGATGGTCACTTGATCAGCTATATCGGTGGCCAAGAGTAGCAATGACTAGTAGTAGATTGATGGCAAAAGGGTATTTTTGTCATAAAATTATTAAATATGTTTAATTGATTTAATGTTAAAGTATAAGAGGATTTATTGATTCAATTCAAAATATACGGTGGTTTTTGAAAACACATATAACTTTGAGGTGGTTTTATATAATTGAAAAAACTTCATTTTCACTCATTGCGATTTTGTAATTTATCATTTGACCCCTTATGGTTTTAAACTTATCACTTAGACTCATTGTGCTTAAATAATTTATCATTTAACCACTCGTGGTTCCAAACTTTCACTTAAACACCTTGTGGCTAGAAAAATTTTCACTTAAATCACTTGTGGTTGCAAAAATAAAAATTTAAAAAAATAAATATTTAAAATAAATGTTCTCTCTTTTTATTTTACATCCTCACCTAATGCATTTAGGATTTAAAAAATTAAAATGAATTTTTAAAAATTTCACTTATTTTTATCAAGAAAATAAATTCAATTCAAATCAAATAGTATTTTATTTTATTTTATTTATTTTTTACCCTATATCGTTATAAAATTATCTAAAGAAAGTAAATATCTTATTTTGATAATACATATTTAATTTATCTTAAAAAATATTTTTTAATTTCAAATATATTTTAAAAAATAAGATAATTTTTAAATTAATTTCAGAATAAATAACTTGAAATATTTTTTAAACCATAAATACATTACATGAGTATATAAAATAAAAAAGAGATAAAATTTATTTTCCAAATTTATTTTTAAAAATATTTATTTTTTAAACCACGAGGTGTCTAAGTGAAATTTTTTATAACCACAAGGGGTTTAAGTGAAAATTTGAAACCATGGGAGGTTAAATGAACAAATATCCCAGCACAGTGGGTCTAACTGATAAGTTTAAAATCACAGGGGGTCAAATAATAAATCACAAAATCACAGTGGGTCAAAATGAAGTTTTCCCTATATAATTTAACCTTATAAATTCAATTTATTAACATGCAATTGGACGCTAAAAATGAGAATCTCTCTTGAATGAATATTTTTTTATGAAAAAAATGTTTGTCCTTTTAAATGACACAACTTATGTCATTTCACTTTCACAAAGAGGTGGGACCCACACCTTTATATTTTTTTGTCCACTCTCTTTTCTCTTTTATCTATCTCTTTTTCTCACTTAAAATGACACAACTTTACATATTTTTAAATGATACACACTTTTCCCTTTTTCTATACACAAAAATCCCAAAATCAAACAAAAGATAGTTTGTACCAAAAAAAAAAGTTAGTAAATAACTAAATATTCATCCTAAGATGCAATGGCACTTAGGGGTGTTAACGAGCCGAGCCGAGCTTTGGTTTTAAAAGGCTAAGCTTGTGTTAAATGTGTCGGCCTTATCAAGCTTGTTACCTGTTACAAATATAATTATCGGCCTGTGGCCTGCCTCATTTACAAAAAATAAAAGCCTGATTTAGCCTGTTAGCCTGTTAGAAAAAAATAAGACAACAA